AACTCCCAGAATTCCTCAGCGAGCTTTGCAACTTTAGGACTTGTGGATTTCAACTCCCAGAATTCCTCAGTGAACTTTGCAACTTTAAGACTTGTGGACTTTGGCTCCCAGAATTCTGGGAGTTGAAGTCCACAAGTCTTAAAGTGGCCAAGGTTGGAGACCCCTGCCCATACACAACGTTTGGGTGACCCCTGAAGAGAACTGGGGAGATCAAGGACTGAAAACTGGGGTGTGGGGCGTGGAATGGCATAACTGCCCATCGTACTTCAGTACTTCAACTGGATCTTGGCTCTCCCGAGTCTTCCCGCTGGCTACAGTTCCATCACCCACGAGGTCTCCGGTGCAGCAACATTGCATACCGATTATGCAGGTATTGGTGCCAAGGATGGATCTCACCGGTCAGAATAAGAACCTGCTATCCACTGAGTTGTCCTTGCCTCTGATGTGATGGTGTCCAGTTCTTCTCTGGACAATTTGCAGCCAGGGAGGAAGAGGAGGCCAAAGAGGTTTCCTCCGACCAAATAGCAAAGAACATGGAGAGCTGCACTCGGCTCTCTTCCCTCCACCCCTTTCACAGCCTTCAAAACTCACCCCACAATCCCCCCAGAAAGGCTGCCCTCGTGCCCTTTGCACCTTCCCTTCTTCTTCTGAAGCCAAACACCCAGGTTCCCTTCCCATCATTTTAGGAGATTTAAATCATGCAAATTTAAGGAAAGAGCTCCCAAAATATTTCCAGCACGTCAATTGTCCCACCAGGGGCAAAAATACTTTAGACCACTGCTACACAACAGTAAAAGAGGCTTATAGGTCTTTACCACTGTTAGGAATAACAAGGTTACCTAACGTAGTTTGGGTAAAATAATATATATAAACTATGATAGTAAGTTTAAGTGTGTGTCACTTTAAACTGCAAAGCATGTAATTTTGGGTGGGTGTAAAACCGCCATAAGAGGGAGCAAGAGAACCTGCTGGATTGCTGACAATTCCTGGTTTGATGAATTGATGGTTTGTTAACTGCGTGTTTTCCCTGCTGCTGAGTTGCTGAAGGAAGAGAGGAGGTTTGACTTCTTCATATCTCTACTGCGAAGAGATATATTACTGGACTGATATTTGTAAGTTTACTGAGCTCTTTTTTGACACTGGACTTTGCAACTGAATAATTCCCGGATGGACTGAATTAGTGAATGATATATGGACTGTTTGACTATGCTATAACTCTTACTGGAATAAACTATTTAACTAGCACGGTGTATCTGTTTTACTGAGTGTAAGCTACAAAAACGTCTATCTCACATATTTTGCCTGTCTGCCTGCCTGCCGTGCAGATTCTGCTAGGGGGTATCCTAACAACCATGAGCAGCTGTGGGACACTCTGACCACTGCATGTTTCACCTTGCACCTGCCTACAGACAAAGACTTAAAACCATGAACCCAACAATTAAATCAGTGAGGACTCGGTCGGATGAGGCAAAGCTGAAACTCCAGGCCTGCCTTGATTGCACTGATTGGAATGTTTTTGAAGACGCCTCTGAAGACCTAGATGAGCTCACAGATACTGTAATATCATCCACCTGAAAACCATCACGGATCCGCTGTTAGATCCCGTGCAGTTTGCATACCGAGCAAATAGGTAGACAGATGATGCTGTTAACATGGCTCTGCATTACATCCTACAGCACCTTGAATCTCCAAAGACCTGCGCAAGGGTCCTCTTTGTAGACTTCAGTTCAGCATTCAATACCATCATTCCAGACACTCTTCTAAGTAAATTAAACCAGGTAGTGGTACCTGAACACACTTGTAAGTGGATCATAAGCTTCCTAACAGACAGGAAGCAGCAGGTGAAGCTAGGCAGAATCACACCTGATACCTGTACAATCAGCACACCCACCCCCCCAGGCTGTGTGCTTCCTCCACTTCTCTTCTCCCTATATACCAATGACTGCATCTCAAATGATCCATCTGTTAAAATACTGAAGTTTGCAGATGACACAACAGTGATTGGTGTCATACAGACAGGAGGTTATGCAACACCTTATAGTGTAACTGGAACAATCTGGAACTGAACACACTCAAAACCATAGAAATGATGGTAGACTTTAGGAGAACCCCTCCCACACTACCACCTCTTACAATACTAGACAACACAGTATCAACATTCAAATTTCTAGGTTCCATCATATCACAAGACCTAAAATGGACACCTAACATCAAAAACATCATCAAAAAAGCCGAACAAAGAAGGTTCTTTCTGCACCAACTCAGGAAGCTCAAACTGCCCAAAAGGAGCTGCTGATCCGTTTCTACAGAGGAATTATTGAGTCTGTCATCTGCACCTCTATAACTGTCCGGTTTGGTTCTGCAACCCAACAGGACAGACACAGACTTCAGAGGAGAATTAGGACTGCAGAAGAAACAATTGCTACCCACCTGCCTTCAATCAAGGACTTGTATACTGTACGAATCAAAAGGAGGGCTGAGAAAATATCTACAGACCCCTCACATCCCGGACAGAAACTGTTTCAACTCCTTCCCTCAAAACGACGCTATAGAGCACTGCACACCAGAACAACTAGACACAGGGGAGTTTTTCCCTTCATCACCATCCCTCTGCTAAACAAATCATTCCCTCAACACTGTCCAACTATTTACAAAGTCTGCACTACTATTACTGTTAATCTTCTCATCACTTCTTATCACCCATCTCCTCCTACTTGTGACTGTATGACTGTAACTTTGTTGCTTGTATCATTATGATTTATATTGACTGTTTCCTGGTATGATTTGATTGCTTATTGTACCCCATGACTATCATTAAGTGTTGTACCTGATGACTCTTGACGAATTTATGTTTTCTTTTATGTACACTGAGAGCAATTTGCACCAAGACAAATTCCTTGGGTGTCCAATCACACTTGGCCAATCAAGAATTCTATTCTATTCTATTCTATTCTATTCTATTCTATTCTGTTCTGTTCTGTTCTGTTCTGTTCTGTTCTGTTCTGTTCTGTTCTGTTCCGTTCCGTTCCATTCTATTCTATTCTTCTCCCAACCATTCTCTCCTTGAAGGATCTCCTCCATTCTTCCCTGCAGGTGTAGATCGAACTAACTTGGCCTTAAGGAAGCCGACCTACCAGTCATCCATCTACCCTAATAGACATGGTGGACCACCAGACAGAGCCGTGGATGGGGACTGCCACGGGGTCTGGACCCATGCCTCCTGCACCCACACCAACCTGGAGAGAAACCCTTGGTGGAGGGTGAACCTGGGAGAGTCTTATAAAATCTACGCGGTGTTGGTGAAAAACCGCCAGGACTGCTGTAGCCATCGGCTCCTTGGAGCGGAGATCCGCTTAGGCGACTCTCTGGAAAACAACGGAAGATTCAATTATCTGTAAGTTGCTCTGCTCCAGCTGCCACCAAATGTTGGGGACTTCCAGGGATTTGGGGCCTCCCACGTACAGAATTCACAGCCCAGTATGGGTGATCTTGGGGTGCTGCCCCAATTTTCGGCCTGGGGACCAAGTTGTCATGAGATCACCTCCCTCCTTGCTCCCCCAGAGGCAGCAAATGACCTGGCCTGATAAAACACCTGTTAGCTTGGCTGCACTGTGGTCTCCGTTCATTTGGGGGACTGTGTGAACTCCACCTGACTGGTGGATTTCTGCTAACGTTTATCTAGAACCTGGGTTCCCTCAGCACTGGGTAAAGCACCTGAGATGAGGCCACGTGGCTGGGGTAGAAAAAGGGGTTTCTCTGCTTGGACTTCTGTCCTGGTCTCTGCAGATGGGAAAAAAAGGGGGCCCTTGAGATAGAAAAGAGGCTTAGAACAAAAGACAACGGCAAATATAGGTGGATCCAATCATCTCATTGCACTTAAGAGGAACTGTTGTATTGTAAAGAGAGAGATTTAGTTATGGGTGAATCCGGGGTGGGATGCAAATATTTTTGCTACCAGATCTGTGGGTGTGTCTGGGTGGGAGTGGCCCTGTGGCTGGGTGGGCGTGGCTTCTTCTTCTTCTTCTTCATGCAGCACCCCTCCCCCCGCGCTCCCTTTCCTTTGCCTCCCTGGGCGAAGCATAAGAGGGGGAGGGGCACCGAGGATTGTAGAATCCCACCACTGGGCTGAATAAATTGCTCTGGTTTCCCATTAGATCTGGGATTTTATTTAGATGTTTCTTTATTTGAACTGATTAGCTGCCCAACTCCAGGGGATGGTTCTGGCCAAGACAGCCATCCGGGTCAGGGACAAAACCGGGCTGGATAAATTCACGTGGTCCTTGATGAAGAAGACTATAGCCTCCTTCAGGGCAGGACCAAAAAACAACGGCCGTAGCTGTCGAAGATGACCAGGCTGAGCCAGGGAGAGGGAAGGGTCAAACACATCATTGGTCTCGCATCCTTTCCGTGCCCACAAGAGATCCAAGTCCAGCCCGCCTTGAATTCTGCTGACTCTCATCTACGGCTAGTTGAGACTTTCAAGAAGAGATTGGACTCCCACCTGTCAGAAATGATGTAGGGTCTCCCGCTTGGGTGTGGGGGTTGGACTAGATGACCTACAAGGTCCCTTCCAACTCTGGTTCTCTGTTATCTGTTAGGAGCTCAGATTCTTGTAGAGAGACTCTGTTTGCTATAAACCTATATAATCTTTTGGACTGCCCGGATCTCCTGGTTTCTTGTACTTGACGGTAGCATTCTTCAGAGCTGGATCCAGGAAAAATCAAAATGATGATGATGACGACCCCGAGAAAGCAATCAAAGTTCAAAACCCAACAACAACAACATTTCCTGCAGAATCACCCCCGGGGTTTGTCCAACGAGGTTCATGTTTACAGTGAATGGAATAGTAGAGACAAAATGGAGGCAGAGCACCTGAGGGAGCAGAGGATCATGGGAGGACGGGTTTTCTGCTCGGATGGGGCTGGGCTTGAAGAGTCAATGGGGGGGATGGGGGCTTGGGGTGACCAGCAGGTGGGGGCCAGAAGGGCTGCTCTCCTAACGTGACCTCTCTTGTCTCACAGCTGTGGGACAATCCAGGACGCCAGCCTGGGCTCCATCAGTACCATCTATTGCGACAATAATCGAGGCCGCTACGTCAGTATCCACTTACCCAGGGAGGAGTACTTGACCGTCTGTGAAGTGGAGGTCTACGGCGCCATGTAGAGAAGCCACGCCTTGCATTGTGGGGGGGTGCATTAACGCTCCTATGAAATGTCAATTGCTCCCCAAATAAACGAGCTCCTAAGATGCATTCCTGGGCTTCCCCTGTTCCTTCTTTGGGGAAAAGGGAGACCTTTGTGTCTGTCGGGGGGGGGGGGATCCAAGCCCCCCTCTTCCTCAAACCGTCTCTGCTCTCTGTCATCATTCCAAGTAATGCACCCATAGAAACTCCAAGGCAGGCAAATTCCTCAAAAAACGATGTCTTGGTTACCTCATTTAGGCACAACCGGTGAAAGCCGACTCTGAAAGTTCCTGCACCTTTCACCTAATTAAAAAGTAAAAGTTTCCCCTTTCCTTCAAGTCATTGGTCACATTGTCCAATCCAGTTGCTGGCTGGTTGCTTGGTTACTTCGCTCCTCCTCTGGCCAGCCACTTGTGAGGATGTCCTTGGTTCCCACAGGAAAGCTTTATTGTTTTGGCTACCAAACCTCATCTAACTATTTCTGCCCTTCCTTTATTGTGTGGCAACCCTCCAAGATGGCCTCAGCCGGGCTCACTTCTGGGGCGACACTCTCCATTCTTCCCCTATGCCCATATGCTCCCTTGGCTCCTCCTCTCATCTGATCTGTTGGTCCCCAGGAGGCCCGTGTTACCCATTTGTCTTTAGTCGGGCTCCTCGGAGACATGCAGATGGGTAGGATCTGTTGGGGCCTGGCAGTGGCTAGCAGAGCTGGCAGCAGAGTCAGGCAGTGAGGAGGTTGGGGAAGAACCTGGGCCGGTCCTGGAGTCCTAGAAAGGCTCGGATGAGGGCTCTGCTTTGGAAGCGGAGATGGGGCCGGGGCAGGCTGGCAGTCATCAGCAGTGACAGCAGTGAGGCGGAGCCGGTTCCCAGCCTGCAAGGCACAGAGCTGCCAAAAGAAAAGAAGAATTACGAACTAAAGGTCGATGTGGGAGTAAGGCCACAGGTAAACGGTGAATGGCCCCTCCCCTAGGGATTAAAAGAGGAGCGTAAGGGGGGGGGCTTTTGCAGGAAACAATTTGTCCGTTCCAGCCGTGTGAAGATCTGTCTGTGCATCTCAGAGATGCTTTGCTGAGTCCTTCCTTGTCAGCACTGCAGTTTGGAAATAGTTACTTGGCAGCTCTCCAGGCTAGATAAGGTCTGTGCTTCTAATCACACCCTGGAAAGACGGTTGGCCAGGCCTTTGGCGGACGGTGAATGCAAGAAATTTGCCTTCGTTTAAGAAAAGGGGTTTTGCCAGGACAAAGCGTCGGCTTAGTGCGTTTTGGGGATGCCGAGGTCAGAGCAGGATCTGTTGAGGTTCCAACCTTGATTCAGAATTGAATTTAGAGACATTTGCCTTTAAGAAGGTTAGTAATTGTAGGTGTGTATGTGTGAACTCCCAGGCTTCCATGCTGAACAAGACAACGTTGTCCATAATTCAGCTCTTTTAGTGAACGTTCAAAGTTACAACGGCACTGAAATAGTGACTTATGACCCTTGCAACCTTTCCAGCTTCCCTATGATTGTGGGATGAAAATTCAGACGGTTCCTATTTAGGACCGTCGATCCTGTGATCCCCTTTTGTGACCTCCCAATGAACAAAGTCAAGGGGGAAGCCCGATTCACTTAACAATCGGGTTACTAACGTATCCACTGCAGTGAGTCACTTATCCCCTGAGGCAAGAAAGGTCGTCGAATGAGGCAAAATTCACTTAACAACTGTCTCACTTAGCAATGGAAAGGGTGAGGCTCAATGGCGGTTGTAAGTCAAGGACTACCTGTATGCCATTCTCACGGAGCTTCAGCGCATCGGAGAGAACTCAGAAGTCTAAACTTCTGGTCCTGGAGACGGATCCAGAATGGATCCTGCAGAATTGTGAGGCTCCGGACTTTTTTTTTATAGCCAGCCAATTGTTGTGCCCTGCGCCCTCATCAATGCTAGCAGCTGCACTCGCAGGATTATAGAATAATTGGGAGGCACCTTGGAGGTCTCCCAATCCAGCCCCCTCCTCAAACAGGAGAAACTATATTCTAGAATGGTATAACTATCCAATAATGGTTATCAACCTCTTCTCGAAAGCCCCCATAATGGAGCCCTACAACTTCTCTCCCACTGGTTAGTTGTCCTCATGTGGGGAAATTTCTCCTGAATTCCAGGTTGCTTCTCTCCTTCCTTAATGCTCATCCGTTGCTCCTTGTCCTGCCTCCAGGGCTTCCGGAGAAGGGCAAGAGCCCTTAGACTTATCTACCGCTTCACCGTGCTTTGCAGCCCTCTCTAAGCAGTTTACAGAGTCGGCTTTTCCCCCCACAACAATCTGCCTCCTCATTTGACCCACCTCGGAAGGAGGGAAGGCTGAGTCAATCTTGAGCTGGTCAGGATCAAACTCCTGGCAGTGGGCAGAAGCAGCCTGCAATACTGCACTCTCACCACTATGCCACCACGGTCTGTCTTCCTTCCTTCCTTCCTTCCTTCCTTCCTTCCTTCCTTCCTTCCTTCCCACTTAGCGATAGCCCTTAGACTTCACAATGCTTTTACATCTCTCTCTAAGCAGTTTATAGAGTCAGCCTCTGGACCCCCCACAATTTTGGCTCCTCATTTTGCCAACCTCAGAAGGACGGAAGGCTGAGTCAACCTTGAACCCGAACTGCCAAATTGCAGTCAGCAAGAAGGAGCCTGCAGTACTTCACTTTAGCCACTGCGCCACCCTGGCTCATACCTTCTATGACCAGGAGGGCCAGATACTTGCCTGACCATCTGAAACCAATCAGCTATATTGCACACCATAGAAGCAGTGGTGGGCTGCAACCCATTTAACAACCGGTTCCGTGAGCACGTGCGCACAGCATTCAAAATACACCAATTTCAACCGCTACAGCCCCGGTAAGTGAAACAGCCGAGGCGCGGAAATTCGCTGTGCTGCGCAAATCAGCTGAGCTGAAAAACATGGAGATATAGGACAGGATAGGGAGGGGGGGAGTGGGCGTGGCCAGCTGTTCATCGGAGCTACCGGTTTGCTAGAACCTGTCCAAACCGGCAGCATCCCACCACAGCGTAGGACCTTCGGATGCCTCTTTCCCTCCTTCCTTTGAACTTTGGAATTGTGTTATTTCGCGGTTGCCAAATTTTGGACAGCTGAAATTATGGTCTGTTTGCCTTGTTCTGTAAGTAATCATGGGAATTTTAGTCCGTCGGTGCTTGCATCGCAGGCCTTTGTCTCTGCTTATCTCTTTGGAGCCAAAGCTTCCTGGACCAGGGGACTCCAACTGTGGCCCCTTTAAGACTGGTGGACTTCAACTCCCAAAGCAAAGCTGGATGAGGAATTCTGGGAGTTGAAGTCCACCAATCTTAAAGGGGCCGCAGTTGGAGACCCCTGTCCTAGACCATGAAATGCCATGTTAAAATCTTCCATTGCTCAGTACCAATTATATAACGCCTTTGCAGCAGAGAAAAGGGGACGCAACCCTTGGCCATGACACAAAAGGGGGAGGAAGTTGAGACATTAGTCCTGGCCATGACTTTTGCGCAGAGATAAAGTTTTTTAAAAAAATGTTTCCCCCTTCCTTTGTGAAATTGTAGGCAGTCGTTAATTTGGGACCACAAGCGAACCCCGAAAAATTCCCGTTGCAAAGCGAGAGGGTCATTAGCGGAGTTTTTTTTAGCCTTGTTTTACGACCTTTCTTGCCACCGCTGTTTAAGTGAATCACAGCAGGTGCAAAATTAGTCCCGCAGTTGTCGTGGGAGATTTGGCTTCCCCGAGGATTTTGCATGTCATGGAAAGTGGTGACGAGACACCACATACCCAGGATGCTGCAACCGTCATAAGTACGGGCCGTTTGCTAAGCAAATTTTAATCACCTGGCCCCGGGGAGGCTGCGATGGTCATAAGTGTGAAAAGTTGTCCTGTCCCCTTTTTCATTGCTGCTGTAACTTCAAATGGTCTCTTAATGAACTTTGTAAAGCCGAGGACTTACCTGTGAGGACGCAGGGTGGGACACAAAAGCAAGAAAGTCACAAAAACAGGTGAAGTCCCTTCAATTCCTCCAACTTGGCTTCAAAGGTCCAATTATCATGGACTGGAGAAAAAAACTCCCCCACAAACAGTTGCGAAAAGGAAGAAATGCCGTTCAAACTCAACATAACATTTAAATTATAAATAGAAAAAACAACAATGCAAACCACACTGAAGCAATTAATGAGACCAGGCAGGATAAGGGCTTGAAGACGTCCACGGATATCGAAATACACACACTGGGAAGGACGCCAAAACTGAGATAAGAACAGACTAGAATTATTTCATCCTTTGCTTCCAGCACTGGACCATGCACAATTTGTCCTTTTAAACAGGCCTCACAGCTGCAGCCCATGAAGGGGATCAGGGCCCCTTCCTCCCCCATAGACCATGCCATTCATGTTTCTCCCTTCTCCGTTCCTCTCTGTGTGCCCTAGGATGAAGAGGGGATGGGCCTGGGTCTTCCTCTGACTGCCCAGCCGGCCTGTGCCCTTCCCCAGTTTCCTCCACGACCTCTGGAGCTACACTCCCGCTCTCTGTTGGCTGTTTTTCCTCTCCCTCGGAGTGAGATTCTAAAAGAGGCATGACACTACCTATGTTAGCTAACTCACACAAGGTGGAAAAAAAATGCCCAACTTTGGGCTGGGCCAGCAGATGGATTCCCCAAAATTACCAAGTGTCCTCCAAGTGAAACACCCCCCTCCACTCCTTCCCACCCCAACCAGAGTTGTCCTCCTTGGCCAGAGGGGCCGTGTCAACCATCCATGACACGGTGATGCAGGCAAACGCTTGTGGTTTACCTAAGACAATGAATGTCCATCACACCCTGACTGGACTGGATGGAAAACCCAGGTGATCAGAGGCAAGAGGCGTTCTGGCCATCCACCATACAGATTAACAGAGTTGGAAGGGACCTTGGAGGTCATCTAGTCCAAGCAGGAGACCCTACACCATTTCTGACAGATGGCCGTCCAATCTCTTCTTGAAAGCCTCCAGTGATGAAGTTCCCACAACTTCTGAAGGCAACTTCTGTTCCACAGGTGGATTGTTCTCATTGTCAGAAAGTTTCTCCTTATTTCCAGGTTGAATCTCTCCTTGGTCAGTTTCCATCCATTATTCCTTGTCTGGCCTACAGGAGCTTTGGAGAATAGCTTGATCCCCTTCCTCCTCTCTGGGGCAGCCCCTCAAATATTGGAAGGCTGCTCTCCTGTCTCCCCTGGTCCTTCTCTTCCCTAGACTAGCCAGGCCCAGTTCCTGCAACCGTTCCTCATATCTTTTAGCCTCCAGTCCTCTCATCATCCTGGTTGCTCTTCTCTGCACTTTTTCTAGAGTCTCAACCTCTTTTTTATAGTGTGGTGATCAAAAACTGGATGCTGTATTCTAGGTGTGGTCTTATTAAGGCTTTATAGAGTATATGTACCTGTCCAGGTACCTAACAGCACATTCATCATACACAGCAAGAGTCTCATGTCCCCAGAAAGCAGGTTTCCTGGTGTTCTGGAAGCTTCCCTCGGAGGCTATCAGGTCCAGCCTCCTCTTCAGTTGGACACATCAAAAGATGGCAATTTGACTACTTTTCACAGGAGCTCAATGTTTCCTTTGATGAGGCACGTCAGCGTGGTACACTTTCATTGCCAGGAAGCCTTTTTCTGACTTTAATTTGGAAATATTCTCTTCTTATGTAATAGCATTTTTCAGGATTGGGAGGAAGTGATTTGGAAGCTACCAGAACTCGTGTTGACTTTGGAGGTGTGAGCATGGTTGCACCTTGCAAAAACAATATTCACGCTGCTCTTTGTTTCCAAACAAGGATGAGGTTCTCACGTGGAAACCAGTTGACATCTGCCAAGGAAGATTATTGTGTACCTGTGTAGAAGAGAGTCCCTGAACACCTGGAAGGAGGAAGTGCGATCGAGTAGAATGTGGGTTGTGTCGCGTGCGCTCTCCCCTCACTGTCAACACCCAGGAGGTAGGGAGGAAACCACTTGTGGAAAAATTGAAACGTAGTCTTGATTGGGTCCCTGGTCTTCAGCACAAGCTCTGCCACTTTCCATTGGCTGGTTGGCTCCCTGAAGGGAGAGTTCACTCCATGAGGAACGAAGTTAAAAACATCTGCTACAGAAGAATTCCAATATTTTGCAGAGATCGCAGGTTGAAGAGGAACAGCTGGGAAAGCTCATTTGGTTGGTGACAGACTATGGGTGAGTTTTTAAGAAGTCTGTGGAGACAATGTCAAGACCAGACCCTCAACCCTGGTCTCCTATGAACAGGGAGGGTCCCCACTTTGAGGGACCTTGCTGGAGCAGAGCTTGTCCTGGGGACTTTGAAGCTCTGTAGCTGTGGATGGCTCGTTCAGGCATCTTCTGAAGATGATGAGAGGTCAATGGACCTTGAGGTCCTCTCCTGGAAGGGCCCAGTTCTTGAGGATCCTGGCTCCTGCAGGAGACCAGAATCTGTTGGAGAAGGTTGCTCCACACACCAGTGATTGTAGGCTACCGGTTTGGCCCGGTTCAACTGATCCAGTTGCAAAAATTGCTACCCAGTTGGGCTGAAAGTCGATCAGCTGAGAAGAGGAAGAAGAGAAAAGCACAGGATCAGCCCTCTCACCTGCCCCTACACTTTTCTCCTCTTTATCCTTGCAGCTGATTGGTGCGGCAGAGCCTCAGCTGGAGTTTGGAAAGCTGCACGCGTGCGTTAAGTGCGTGTGAGTTAGGTGTGCCTGTATACAGACCTCTGCACACACACCATCGCCAAACCAGTAGTTGAACAGGTAGGATCCCACTGCTGCTCCTCCCCTTTGGGTCTTCAACAGAGGCAACAGCCAATGTTTTTATTTATGTGGACAAAGAGGTGGGGTTGGAGAAGATAATTATGGGGAAAATAATGAATAGTTGGCTTAGTTGATGCAGCCATGGTTTTTTCTGAAAAGAACCCCTTGAGTTTGTAAAACTCGTGCTTGTAAAACTAAGCGAACTACCCCCATTCCATGCATAAGACCCAGAGACCTCGGGAAATTCAGTGCTGAGTGAAGAAAGAAGCCCCGTGTTTGCTGAGAGTTTATCGTGAGCTGGACAGCAGTGCAGAGTTTCCTGATAAAAAGCCGTGTCTTGTCCTTCACTGTGGGAGAGAGCTAATACCTGTTGGAGACGAGTCACAGTGATGGAAAGACTGGAGAGAAAATCCCATGTTTGCTAAGTTGGTGACAAATCTTGTAGCAATGCCAACCTAAAGGTCCCCCTGAGTTGGGAAAGAGGTCAACCTTTGCTCTGGCCTCCTGATTGGCTTGGGCTTCCTGAGTCGGGTTAGTCCTACCTGGGAGGAAGGGGATAAAACCGAGGCTGGTCAGAGGGAGGCCCTGGGCTCACCTGAAGCACCTGTGGGTGGAAAGGAGCTGTCCTTGTTCCCCTTCCAGGAAGGAGATCCAGCCCTTTGGACATCGCCAAGAGATTGAAGGAGGTGAGTGGCGGGGAAAGAAGGAAGGACTGACTACAGAGTGTGTCCTGGAAGAGGAGGGGTGGGTGAAATTATGGGATGGCCCGAGAAAGTGGGCAGAAGAGAAAGAGACTCCAATAAACCCACCTTGGTGTTATTAATGAGATTGACCTCAGCGTGTGGGAAAGGCCAGGTGAGGGAAGAGGCAGAAGAGCGATTTCAGGTGTGCTCGTGATGGACCTCTGGGAGAAGGGCAGAACCTTGAAGGTACCGCCAACCCTCCTTTGGGTCTTCATGGCCAGTCCTGGTGCTCAGGTGTGTTGGGCAGAGGAAGCCAACTCTTCATCATCTCTACGTGGCCTTCCCACACCTTCCCTGATCTCTCCCCTCCTCGCTTGCAGGATGAAGCTCATCGTCTGGGTGGGTCTGCTGGCCGTGGTCCTCCTGGCAGGCCCTGGAGCAGCTCAGAGTTGCAGGCCTCCCCCTATAGGTAAGAATCACCTAAAGACCCTTGTGTGTTGCGTGTGTGTGTGGATACAGATATAACATCCACTAGTCCTCTCCCTGTCTCTCCTCTTAGTCTTGTGGCACCTTCAGATACCGGTGCACTGCCTGCAACACAGACTGTAGTTGTTGCTCAAAGGGTACAAGGGCCATGAGATCCCTGAACTTCAGTGGGTCTGTTGCACAACCACCGTAAGATTGTCCTTGGGAGCAGGGACTCCTGCTTGTAGGTTTATCTACAAACTGGGCCTTATGTTCTCTTTGATGTGTGTCCCTTGCTTCTCTCTGCTCGCACACTTCAGAACATCTGGGTGTCCCCTGGAGACCCTTGCAGAGGAACAAGGCAACAGAGTGTAAACTGGGTGTGTGTGTGTGTGTGTGTGTGTGTGTGTGTAATTGTCCACAGCACTTCAGGCCAACCGGATATTTGCTCTCCCTAATCCGTCCTACGACCTCATCACCCACATGGTCTCCAGCGGAGCAACATCACACGGTCAATGGCCACTTGATATGGATCTCATTGAACCTACTGTGATGAGGTCCAGATCTCCTCTGGGAGTGGGAGAAAAGGAGGCCAAGAGGTTCCTCCCCCAATAGACAAGAAAGGTAGCATGGCACTCAGCTTCACTTCTTTTAACCTGTTTCAAAACTTACTCCTTGTGTCTCCAAAATGTGGCTTTGCACCTTCCCTTTTTCTTCTCCTCCCAACCGTTCTCCGCTTGAAGGATCTCCTCCGTTCTCTCCTGCAGGTGCAGGCGCAGAGAATTTGGCCTTAGGGAAGCCGACCTCCCAGTCTTCCGACTACATATATGAGAGCCTTGGATCACCAGACAAAGCCGTGGATGGGGACTGCAATGGGACCTGGAGACATGGCTCCTGCACCCACACCAGCCTAGAGAGAAACCCCTGGTGGTTGGTGGACCTGCGGGAGTCTCATAAAATCTACGTGGTGGTGTTGAAAAACCGCGAGGACTGCTGTGGAGAAAGGCTGTATGGAGCAGAGGTCCACGTAGGAGATTCTCTGGATGACCACGGAAGAGCCAACCCTCTGTAAGTTGCTCGGAGCCCGTCCTCCCCAACTGGAGTCCTCCAGGTATTTGGGGCATCGCCAGAATAGACAGAATCCACAGCCAGTGCAGGAGATTTTGGGGTGCTGTTGGGTATGAGGTGCTGACTTTGTCCTGGGGACCAAGATATCGTGACTCCACTGATGTGGAGATTGTGAGATCACCTCCCTCCTTGCTCCCCCAAGAGGGAGGGAAAGACCCGAGACATCTGGCTAAAGTTGTCTTATCCGTTGTTTGGGGGACCCGATTGCTAATTTCTGCTATCATTTATGTTGCAAATCTAGAACCTGGGTTCCCTCAGAACTGGGTAAAGCACCTGATATGAGGCTGGGGTAGAAAAGGCAGTTTTCTCTCCTTGGACTTTTGTTCTGGTCTCTGAATCTCAAAAAAGATGTTCTCGGCGCGGAAAAGAGGCTTCCAAAGTATTTTGGGCAAGACTTAGAACTAAAACAATAAATTAGGGCAAGACAACATCCAATATAGGTGGATTCCATCATTTTATTGCACTTAGAGGAACTGTTGTATAAGGGAGCAAAAGAGAGATTTTAAGTCACGGGTGAATAAATTGCTCAGGTTTCCCATTAGATATGGGATTTTATATATATGTTTGTTTATTTGAACTGATTAGCTGCCCAACTCCGGAGGATGGATCTGGCCAAGACAGCCATCTGGGTCAGGGACAAAACCAGGCTGGATAAATTCATGCGGTCCTTGATGAAGAAGACTGTAACCTTCTTCAGGGCAGGACCAAAAAACAAGGGCCGTAGCTGTCGGAGATGAACAGGATGAGCCCGGGGGAGGGAGGGGTCAAACACGTTATCAGTCTCGACTCGCATCCCTTCGTGCCTACAAGAGATCCAACTCCAACCCGCCTTGAATTCTGCTGACTCTTATCTACGGCCAGTTTGCTTTGACCGTTAGTAGCTCAGATTCTTGTAGAGAGACTCAGTTTGCCATAAACCTATATCATCTTTTGAACTGCCCGGATCTCCTGGTTTCTTGTGCTTGACAGTAGCATTCTTCAGAGATGGATCCAGGAAAAATCAAGATAATGATGTGATTCGCTGGCAGCCGGTGAGGACGGCTGAGGCCTGGGAGAGCAAGGACTCGGATGAGGGTCCTGCGTGGGATGCAGGGATGGGGCCAGGACCATCAGGGAGTGGAGTGCTGCCTTTGGAGTCTGTGGAGGCTGGCAGCAGTGAGGAAGAGTCCCCTGAGGAGCCTGTGCCCAGTGTACGTGCGTGCAAGGCTGCTCAAAGTAAAGAGCAGCAGCAGCAGCATGGATGACTCATGAGTAAGGCTGCAAGGCGATGGCCTCTCCCTTAAGGGATAAAAGCCAGCCCTCAGAGGTGGGATTCTTTGCAGGAAGCAAAGAAGTTCTTGCTCTTCAAGCCTTGTGGATGTTTGGACTATCCTGGTTTGTGTTTGGAGACATTTTGTTTGGAATATTTCTTGGCAACTTAATCTAGTGCTTTTGTCAGCCTTGCGCCACCTTGGCAAGGCTCGTTCTTATCAGAAACAATGAGTTTGAAACAACCTTTTAACTGTGAAGGAAAGGAATTCGCAGAGAAGCGTTAAAAGGTTTTGCTTTTACCTCTGCTTGGTGTTTGTTTGCTTGGAACCAGGTTTGGGTCAGAACAGTTGATGACCTTGAGAAAGCAATCAAAGTTTGGGTTTTTTTTTAAAAAAACATTCCCTGCAGAATCACCCCCAGCAGGTGGGGGCCCAGAAGGACTGTCCTCCTAACCTGTGACCTCTCTTGCCCCACAGCTGTGGGATTATCCTGAACACCAGCCTGGGCTCCATCAGCACCATCTACTGCAACGGGCAGGAAGGCCGCTACGTCAGTATCCACTTACCCGGGAAGGAGTACTTGACCGTCTGTGAAGTGGAGGCCTACAGCGCCAAGTAGAGAAGCCACACCTTGCATGGGGGGGGGGCATTAATGCTCCTACGAAATGCCAATTGCTCCCCAAATAAACGAGCTCCTAAGATGCCTTCCTGGGTTTCCCCTGTTCCTTCTTTGGTGAAAACCTTTGTGCCTGTCGGGAGAATTATTCCCTGATTGTCCTCACTCCTCCATGCGCTTTTCAGGTCATCTGATGTATTGACCCCCAGGAATCCCAGTGTGACCAGTTGGTCCTTATTGGGACTCCTCAGAGATGGAGGTCCCAACGTCTACGGGGACTGAACTTTCCGACTTTTGCGTTTAAGAAGATGATTGTGTGTATCTATAGAGGATTGGATGGATGGATGGAGGAATTGATGTGTAGATAAATGGATATATGGTTAAATAGATGGATGGATAAATAGATGGATGAAGGAATAGATGAAGGAATGAAGGGATGGAGGGATAGATGGAGGGATACATGGGTGCATGGACGGATAGACTCACAGACCTTCACACTTACTTTATATACAGTACATTAGCTTTAGGAGATCCTGGTGGTCCGTGGTATTACAGGGAGTTGCGTATCGCATTTCCTGCAGAATGGCATGTACTATTCAACTTCTCCTGGTGATAAATGTAAACGAAAACACCACACAGGTTGTACACAGTGGAAGAAGAGAGAGGGGGTCTTGTAAACCCCTTTACACAGGGGTAAGACCTATCCCAACCTCTGCATGTCTCTCCTTGAGAATGTAAGGGAAGATGGACTGTATGCCTGAAAGGTGAGCTTGGTCAAGAAGCTCAAAGATCTCTGAGGGTGGAAATCCACCTGTATCAACCTGCATGTCTGGTGTCATCTGGAATTGAGTTTGGATGTGGGGATTCTCCCTTTTTCACAGAGGAGCTTTGGGGCTGAGCCAGTCCAGCTGCCTCGACAGTCCAGCCAGTGGAGTCCTTGGCTGTCTCTCTGCAGACAAACACCACAATGTTACAAGGCTGAGTAATGAAACGTCTGGAAGGGAAGAGAAGGGAAGGGAAGGGAACGGAACAGAACAGAACAGAATTCTTTATTGGCCAAGTGTAATCGGACACACAAGGAATTTGTCTTGTTGGAGATGTTCTCGGTGTACATAAAAGAAAAGATACATTTATCAAAAGTCAAGAATCATAAGGCACAACCCTTAATAATAGTCATAGGGTACAGTAAGCAATCAGATAGATAGATAGATAGATAGATAGATAGATAGATAGATAGATAGATAGATAGATAGATAGATAGATAGATA